CCTAATATTGAACCTTGAGGAACGCCCATTTTTATATTAGTTCCCTTAGACTTTACACCATCAATATCTACAGTTTGCACCCTATCCTCTAGATAAGTTTTCATTAGACTTAGGTCATTATCTCTAATACCATAATATTTGAGCTTGTACAAAAGTGTTTCATGATCTACGCAATCAAACGCCTTCGACAAGTCACAAAAAACGCCGAGAGCATCCTGTGAGTTTTCCCATGATTCGAATATATGTGTAATAAGCGCTACACCTGCATCAGTAGTAGACTTGCCGGCAGTGAAACCATATTGCTGACTGTGAAGCAGTCCGTTATCCCTGAAGTATTTTAACATTTGGTTAAACATAATTTTTTCAAATACTTTACTTAGAACTGGCAAAATAGAAATTGGTCTATAGTTGCCTAGCTCAAATCTATCTCCAGATTTAAAGAGTGGAATTAATTTGCTAAATTTCATTAATTGAGGAAACACGCCATTATCAACACATTTATTGAAAATAGTAGCTAGATAAGGAGCAACAATATCTATGAATGTACTAACTACTTTAACTGACATGTCCCAGAGATCTTCCGTATTTTTTAAATTTAACTGTTTGAATATTTTTATGACATGAAAAGGGCTGACATGTGAAAATTTAAATGTTAAAGAGCAAGGGCTGACATTAGCCTCCAGTAATGTTTTTGCTCGAATTGGAGATGAGTCTAAAGAAGAAGTAATATCAATCGGAATATTAGCAAAAAAATCTTGAAAAATATGAACTATATCTTTTGTTGCTGTTATTAACTTATTGTCATAATTTAATGAGAATTGATTGCAGGCTTTTTCAGACCGTCCAGTTTCTTTGTTTATAATTCCCCAGATGGTCTTAATTTTGTCAGAGGACTGATTAATTTGTTTATTTATAAAATTAGATTTAGCTGCAATACAAACTTGTTTGAAAATTTTAGAGTAATTTCTCACATAAGTTGTAAATTTGTCATCAAATCTATATTTTTTTTGATCATATAAATCAAATAAAATGTTTCTACTTTTAAGTATTCCTACTGTTGCCCATTCTGTAAATTTAGATTTAACACAATATTCTCTTTTCTTGAAAATATTCTGGTATTCTTTTGACAAAAGACTAATTAACTTGGTGTAAAGAATATCAGGATTATTAAGACTGACAGATTGTAACTCTAAGTCTAATTTATATTTAACCGTGCTTTTGTATTTATTAATATTGTAAGCATTTATTTGTCTTTTTGATCTTTTATTATTGGTATTTTTTTTAGTCTGATTACTAAACTTAACAACTTGACTACAGTGATCCGAAGGAAGTTTATTTATTATTAATTTTTCAATATACTCACAGTTACAAAAAACATTGTCAAGACAAGTAGCAGTCGTAGCGGTTACACGAGTGGGTTCCTGAAAGACATTACTCAAATTAAAAGACTGAAATAAACTAATAATTTTTGTACATGTGGGTGTATCACAAAGAATATCAACGTTAAAATCACCACACACAATGATTTTTTTACTGCTATTAAATACTTTTTTTAATATATCCTCCATCACCTCTTCAAATACATTATAATCACTATTAGGAGGCCTATAAACACATATAAGTATATAATTATCTAGTTCTATACATGAGATTTCTGTACAACACTCAATAGAAAGTCTAACAATGTCAGCACGTTCCTTTACTTTAATATTATTTCTTGCAATTATCATAGACCCACCTCTGTTAACTGACTTTCTATTGAAGCAGCTGACAACATTATAATTATTTAAACTGAACATCATATTGCTTTCTTTAAGCCAATGTTCAGTGAAACAGATAATGTCAATATTGTATTTTTCCAAAAATAATTGTATAATTAATTCACTGCCGGGAAAACTTTGTATGTTCTGATGAACAATTACCAATTCTAATTGCTTTCCCTTTGTCTTTGTTAGCAGTTTAAATCTGCAGTCAAATTACTTATATCACTATTTAAACAAAAATTAATAGAATCATTTGTTATGTCACAATTTTTATATTGAAGTTTACCATGTAAACTGTTCATGAAGTCAATATTATAAGCCACTAAAGTGGCTATTTTATTCTTAGAAGATTTAGAAAGATACATTGTATCTTTTGTCAAATAAAAATCACTAATAAAACTATTAGTGTCAAAAAATGTAAAAACGTCACTATGACGACATGTCAATGTATGTAATAAATTATTAAGGTAATGTACCTTATTGTTAATTTTTTTATGATAATGGCTACTTGTATAAGGAAGAGCGCACAATACAATCTTATATACATTCAATTGTAACAAATATTGAATACCTTTAATTATATCCTGTCTATTTAATTTAATACTATTACCAAAAAATAACACAACTGTGGTCATTTTATTCATTTTAGTAGATTTAATTTTGTTAATAATTTGTGCAAATGATGCCCCTGGCATACAGTAATTTAATACATCACCCTTAAGATGATACTTCAATATAGATCCAAAATTACAGCCTATTCTGTCAGAAAACACCATTGTGCTACTTTTAGGAGTATAGTCACTGACACAAATCCCCTGAACTTCATTTATCTGCACAGTTGAAACTGAATTATTATTTGGCAAAGTTGAATGATCACATGTACAATGTTTAGTTAATGACTCAAAACGGTCAGCATTGTATTTACTGACATCAATCAAATCATCCATTGCCAAAATATGCTCCTGGATTTGTTTTTGTGAGATAGTATACTTGTTATTTAAATCATGAAGCGATGATTCTAAACTCTTTATTTTTGAAGTTAGGTAACTTGTATCCATGTCATATAACTTTTGGCTTTCCACTAGTTTATTATTATACTTATTAATATAATCATGCAATTTTAAATTGTTTAAACTAGTTTTTTTCAGCAACTGACCATTTTTGGAACGTTTATATAATATACTCCGAGTCTTAGTTATAAACTTTTTTAATTTTAAATATTTTTTTAATTTATTATGACTCATCATACATATGTTATTATTATAGTTGCCCTGTGATGTGTCGCTAGTAAGGTCAATCACAACTGGATGGCTGCATGGAACTGAAGTAGAAGGAGGCATACAGTCGACACTAATAAGCTCATCATATAAATTACTAATCTCATTACTTTGTTGAGATTCAAATTTTGTGTCAAGATCATTAATTTTAAGATATGCCTGCTTTAACTCAAGCTCCAACTCAGTGATACGCCTCAAGGCTTGCTCATGTGTATCACTACATTGGTGAAAGCTACTTAATAGTTCTTGAAGCTGATCCCGCTGCTCAATAACTTCCTGATGACTATTATAAAGTTCTGACAATTCAGATTTTAATTGTGTATTTTTATTTATAATTTTTAAAATTTCATCTTCACTCTCTTCTCTCTCCCTGATCAACTTGTCACTGAGATCTTTGGATGCCTGAAGTTCTTGTAGGGCCACTTTAAGCTTCATCTCTGTCTGCCGCGCAGTTGTGGAACGGGTAGATAGTGACATTATTAAGAATATAAATAGTTACTAGGGAGAGTGAAGTGAGCTATTTCTAAAAGAAGCTAAGTATTACAACGAGAACAGCAGCTGAACCTTACTATACAGTTTAAGTGTTAAAATTGTGAATAAATTCTCCTAGGTATATTATATACAAGTTATATTTGATAAATTGATAATCTAAATAAACGTTTTAACTGAATAACGAAATAAATGTAGATAAATTGTGCTCTATCCCTTTAAATTATAATAATACAAAGTATAAAAAGACTTACAATTAAATTAGTGGGTATTTTTTTCCTTCGACGTATGCAACAACCGAACTTCACTATAATTATTATTAATTTAACTTAATATGAATATTTTATGTAAAACTTGCAATGATTATGAGTTTCTTGGGATAAATCCAACAAACAATTGCAAAATAATTTTGAATAAAACTTAGTTGTTCACGAACAGTTTGACAGATGGATAAAGTGAACAGTAAGATGACAGACAAATAAAGAGAGATATAAACAATATTATAATATAAAATAATACATATAATCATCTACTGGTGCCCCGGTATACACTAACCGCATCTTAGACCCGCTTCTGCCCTTGTCTCTACAAGATCTACAGACATGTGTGGAACGGACGCGGCTCTACCGCCCTGCTCAGTCTTAGGGTTCTAGTCCGCCGTTCACACAAAAAAGGACGATGGACTGGTGCGCCACATATTCCATCTCCCCCCCCCCCTCCCCCTCACAACACGTGGCGGTCCAATATACATGGTCATCGCGCATGTCTTATAAATAAATGGATCTTGATTCTGACTCAATAATCACTGTAAATGTATTACATTTTTATTTTATAAATTGCGATTGCTCAGAAATGCTGGTTGGTTTTTTTCTTTCTTTACGCGGCAAAATGTTTCTGACTGACTTGATGAATGAACAATGATAAACAAACCAAACATTAATGCGATAGATCTGTAATCTGGCTCCATATCGCATTGGATTGAAATACATCTGGCGTAATATAGACATGTCCAGTGTTTCTTTCAACTTGACTTCAACAATTGAAAATAACTTGTTTGTTTTATCAGTCATTAAATATATATTTATATACGGTCATGTTTTTGTTAGCAACCGGTTCTTGACCGTAATTACACAACACTGAAGAGTTTAAAAAAAGATTATTGAGTATAGATAGATAGTAGCGTTGCAGGTATGGCAACCATATGAAAATCCTCGTGCAAACACGATATTTATGATTTTCGAGAACATGTTAGTATAATATTTAGAGCGTTCAAAATGCTATGATAAACGAGTGCCAAATTGAGCTAATGTACGAGATTTTATTGGATTTTTTATTAATTCCTGCGTGGTTAAGTTGGTTGATTAAGGCTGGCAACTCTGATCTGTTATCAGTTAACTGTTATCACCCAATCACATAGTTGATAGCTCTATAATAACCATTTTTACTATAACGATTCAGTCATACATGAAACGTCGCGAACGTCGCACGTTACGCGCGCGCATGTCATATTAATAAGTTTGTGAATCATCGAAATAAAGTATAAGATTAGCACAATGTCTACTCTTATTTTGTGGCTAGTGGTCACTAGTATAATTGGTGTACATTCGCAAAATTTATCAGTAAACACCACACAAGGTTTAGTGGCAGGTGTAAAAGCGGGCGACGGAGATTATTACACTTTTTATGGTTTAAGATATGGTCAACCAACTTCCGATGAAAATAGATTTGTGGTACGTATCTTGTTTTCTATGTAAATATAAAAAGCACATTACATAAGCGATTAGAGGTTTCGTGTTTGAAATTTTAAAGAAATTATATAGTTAGCAACATTTCATAACTGTTAAATAATATCAGATTGATTACTTATCATTTTATTAGTCATTACTGTATTTATCATTGCTCGTATGATATCACAGATATCGTATGGGTGCAGTACAAATGTTTAAATTCCTCGACTTTACTGAACTATAATATTCATGTTTTTTTTGTGGACGATAATGAAATGCTATGGTATGGTTAACGGTTTACGCAAGTGGGGCACCAGTGGAGAATAATAAGATATAAGGTCAGATTAGTTAGCCCATCGTGACAAACTTACTAGGATTTTATCACGATGGTTTCTAGAAGTAATCGCGTGGAGGTCGACCGAACATGGTAAATTGGAGATTACTAGTTCCCATTACTAACAATGCCCTTTCCCTCTATTCAAGTATTTACTAGGAATGGTATGAATGTGGTTTATCAGAAATGAAGTCAAGAGTAGTTTTTAGTTTAGATTTGGTTTATCGGAGTAGTATTAGGTTAAGTAAATAAGAACATTGTTCACTTAATCAGCCGGTCTAACCTTATTAACTCAATCATTGAAAATTAATATGTTGTACAGTCAATCAAATTAATTACCAATCCGCTTATCGAATATGATACTGCAAATTTTAACTATAAAAAGGATTGCCACGTGTTCAAAATTTAATGTAAAAGAATGTTTTAAAAATATAAAAGAATGTTTAAAAATCGAACTCAACTAAACAAATTATTGCATAATAACAATTGGAAGGGACAAGACGATCGACAAGTGTAGTGGACTTATAGTTCGCGACGGCCATAAACATGTTTGTACAAGTTGACTGCGGCCGGCGCTATTCGAATGTTCAATTTCCGATATAAAACGTCGGATCTGTAGAGCTATTCTGTAAGCATCACTTTCGGATTCGAAATCGAAATCCGCGGTGAGGTTAAACATTGGTATTCTGTAAAACTCGATAGCGACTAACAGTCCATGCTCGGAAGGCGCACCTCCATCCCGCTGTCAAGCCTGTGGACTGTAGTCGCTAGCGAGTTTTATAATACTAGTTATTTTACTACAAATACAGGCAAACTCGATAGCTCCGTAGGAACTTTATATTCTCAAATGGATACGAGTATCTTGAGTGAAGCGATGGGTGATGACATGAGTTGATAAAATGCTTACAGAATAACAAGGTGTAAAAATAATCGGGAATTCCGACTTATCGGAATCGAACTCATTGCTTTATAATACATCAAGTATTTATTTACGTATAAAACTCGTGATTCACTCTATCTGTTAAGGAAAATTGCATTAATATCCGTTTCGTAATTTAAAAGAAATAACTAAACACATATATATATATATATATATATACAATACATATATACAACACAAATTTATATTATTAACCTATAATTATTCATTAATTGTATACCAATAATATTAAGAATGAGTTATCCCTAAAATCCAACTTTAACGATGATACAATTAAGACAATGACATCATAGTAGGTATATATATACATATATAGAATGAACTGTTTACTATTATAATATTGATCTACTGTTGATATCATATACTGAGTATATATATTACTTGACTGTCTTATCTTATACATAAAAAATGATGGCCCGGGTCATTGACTCATCAACCACATTAATCCCTTGAACCTACATTGAAACTTTTTTTCACATGTACTGTTTATAAGAAGTAAACGAGGATATGAAAGGGTTCATCGAAATTCAATTCTTAAGGAGGTAGAACAAATGTTTAGCGTTTGTATGGAGAAACAATATTAAGTAGACATTCCGTCTTAGTATTACATTTCATACAATATTCATAAAAATAAATAAGTACATGCATATGATTTTTTTATGAATCAGCCGCGAGCGTAATGACGCTCGCGGCTGATTCATAAAAAAATCATATCACACTAGTGAGCGAATCAAATCACAATAGTGAGCGAATTCGCTGGCAAAAGCTAGTCAGATATAATATAATGCAATATTTAATCGAACAATCTTCTATTTTTTATAGGCACCTAAACCCGCTGAACCATACCCAGGCGAATTTCACGCAGTTCATAAAGTTACTTGTGTACAACCTACTGCACAAGGACAGTTAACAGGCAGTGAAGACTGTTTAGCGCTAGATATTTACACTAAAAATGAAACAGCTGGCAAACCTGTTATCGTTTGGCTTGAAGGCGAAGGATATTTGTCCTCTGAAAAGGAAATTTCATTCAGGAGACTCGTTGTGGAGGATCTTGTGGTGGTATCAGTAAATTACCGTGTCTCTATCTTCGGATTTCTATGTCTTGGAGTTCCAGAGGCTCCTGGCAATGCTGGCCTTAAAGACGTTATATTGGCATTACAATGGATTAAGGAAAATATAGCCAATTTTGGAGGAGACCCGAATAATGTTGTACTACTTGGACACGGATCTGGAGCTGCAATAGTCGACTTGATCACAATGTCACCACTCTCGCAAGATTTGGTACACAAAGCAATCGCCATCAGTGGATCAACAGTAGCACCTTGGGCTTTATCCTATGATCCGGTCGGTTCCGCTGAACTTGTAGCATCAAAACTTTCTTACTCTGGAAAAACGCGAAGCGATTTAGCAAGATTACTAAAGACTACTCCAACAAATTTATTATTTCCTGCTCTTGATATTCCGTTTACAAACAACACTGTATTATTTGCTCCTTGCTTGGAGAATCCTGACCTACCTAACGGTTTCCTTTACGATGCACCAACAGACATATTAAAAATTGGTAACTTTAGTCATATACCCTATTTAGCTGCTTACACCGATAGGGAGGGCACAATAAGAGCTGCAGAATACAATGATTGGCTTCCCAGAATGCAATCAAATTTAACTGAGTTTATTCAAGTAGATTTGGAATTTGGTTCTGAAGCGAACAAGACGGATACGGTGAATTCCATACGCGAGTTCTATTTCCAGAACAATGGTAGCACCAGTAATAATAGTAATATCGACGTAGAAGACTATTTAGATTACCATGGAGATACCGTTATTCGTGTGTCAGTATTAAGAGGTACCAAAGCAAGAGCTGAAACGTCGAGAGCTAATGTATATTTACTCGAGTTTGCTTACCGAGGTTCGACAAACGATGACTGGGCATATCCCCATATACCACTGAATGGTGTAAAACACGGAGGTATTCTGGAATACTTATTTGACATCAATATGAGCGTCCACGGTACGAATGCATCAACGTCGCTCATCAACCATGTTGTGTCGTTTGCAAAAATCGGGTGAGTAAATATTACAGTTTTTTTTAACTAAATTACAGACTTGTATTTATGTTACCATGCCAAAACAAATTGCTTTTTGTTTTTTTTTCTCTCTTTGTGTATTTGTACACGCAGATTAGTATAAATTTAAATTATGATTTAACTGGAAATTCCGTAACATTTATTTTTAATTTCAGTTCAATCGGTCCAAACCAAAATTTAATGTTTTATTAAACATTGTTTAAGATTGTAAAAAGTCGAAAATTGTCTGTACGTTAAGAATTCACAGCTGGATGACTAAGGATAAAATTTGTTGTGGGTCAAAATATAGCCTAAAGAAATCTCAGGTAGTTGGAGTACCTTTAGATGTAATGAGAAAAAGTAGTATTTTTTTCTGACTAATGTAAATTTAAATTATTGAAATACTGGATGATGTTCTAAAATACCTATGTACATTATACATTAAGTGCGTACAGCAATACCGAAAATCTCAGTAACTAATCAAAATGATCTCAAATTTTGATATTATCTGAATTGTAAGCGTACACATTTTACATGTATGATTATGTGTATGTATGTATTTTTACATTGCATCTTTTTCTTTATATTACTGTACCTTGGGCGTGTGCCGTTTAATGAACATAAAAAGGTTATCTATCTATTTTATATCATACTCGTTATACCTATATCGCATAAAACGAGTTATTTTATGTGTATGTATTATCTTATCTTAATAAACGCGAAAGTTTGTGAATATGGATCTTTCTTACTCTTTCACGCAAAAACTACTCAATGGATTTTAATGAAACTTTACTGTAATATGGCTTATGCATCAGAATAACACATAAGCTATATTTTATATTAAAATTTAACACGTGTGGAACCTTGTGCACAGCTATGAAATTTGAAGTGTCTGTTTGTTCTTGCTAATTTCTGAAACGGCAGGGCCTATTTTGACGACACTTTCACTTTCTGATAGCTAAGAAGTGAATTACTTATTTTGGAAATTTGTTTATTTTTATATAAAAAAAATCATTGCCACGTGGATGAAGGCGCGGTTAACAGCTAGTATGGGCATAAAGTTGTTGTAATCTTATATAACATTAGTATTGTATTATATACTTATAGAAAAGGAAAAAAATGTATTCATGAGTATGACTTTTGCTTTAATCTGGGAATTTTCCACTTATTTTGCACATATTTTCCGAATAAAAATGTATAAATGTGTGTAACAGTTATCTACTGTCCACAGTATAGCTCTGCTTAAAGATTAGATAGCGCTTTGTAGGTTATCCTTGACGGTTATTATTTATTTTGGGTGTCATACACACCCATTTGGTAGCCTCGGTGCTCTAGTGGCCAAGCACACCGCTTTAATTTCGATGGTCGCGGGTTCGATTCCTCGCACGGTACAGACATTTGTATTCAAAAGTATGATTGTACAACTAAACACCCAGACTTTTACCGGTTTTTACCGGTCTGGGTGTTTTGTTTTGTTTTCTATGTATATTATGTATAAAAAATATCTAAGTATTTATATCAAGTGTCTAGTTCCCATAACACAAGCTCTGCTTACTGCTCTAGATGGCGCTGTGTTAATTGTCCAGTATTATTTATTTATTTATATTTTTAATTCAATGTCGTCCCCGTGGGTACCTCTGTCCTATTTCAACCGCCAAACAGCTGACTTTGAAAGATGCATTTCAGTTGAAAATTGTAAAACAATCAGGATAAGAGTTACATTTTAAAGTCCGGCCGCTCAGTTTATATTGCAGGTTATCTGCAGGTGTTGTTTTTGTAGTGATGTGACCAAATAACCTTGAAACGGACCAGTTTCATGTGGTTTGACTTTCAAAAACTATTGTTTTTATATTTGTCAATTCGTTAATAATTATAAATTTAAGCCCGATATTTATACGAAATTATTAAATTTTTAATGTAAATGTGACGCAAATTGTACGTCAGTCAAAGTTAGTCCATTCGATCCCGACCTGTTAGAAACGGAAAGTGAGTAGCCGAACTATACTCATTGATACCGCATGGTAACCGGAATGGACACGCTGTGAACACTATGACGTCATCTTGTTGTTTTTACTTTATGTTTTTAACACTAAACTTTACTACAGTTAGAAATTTACAAAAAATCAATACCAGGTAAGAATGGGGGGTGTACCCAAAACCGAAAAATATGGCAAGGGGTCAACGACACAAAAAAATCCATCAAGTGTGTTACCATTAGTTAATTTTCTACTCCATTAAAAAATATAATTATGTTTTTCAGAACACCCGCATTGAGCGCTGTGTCTTCCCAGCAATGGCAACCGGTCAGCAACGCTGCCTACAACTACTGGTACTTCGGTGGTGCCATCAATCAACCCCATAGTGAAGAACCGAGACAGAATCCACACTCACAGAGAATGCAGTTCTGGAATGATCTATATGACAAGTACTATAGGGCTCCGGTTCGCGTGTCAGCTGCGTCCAAGTATAGCATTGCTCTGCCTTTGATTATTTTTATGACAATTGTTGCTAGTTTCTAACCTCTCTAATTATTTGTCACAGTAAATGATGTCACTGTAAATATTATAAATATACAAATAATGTTATCATTCAAAATTGAGTCATGGGTTTGTTTAAAAGTGCAATGGCGTATCATTTATTTTCTAGAACAATTCTTGCATTGAATTTCACAACAATATTAACAATAGAAACCTTAGTTTACTTTATAAAAAAAAATTACTTTACCATCAATAGGACATATTATACTTGACATGTATCTATGTTGATAACATACCTCTAATCCGCATTGATAAAGCTGAGGATTTTTTTTAATTGTTTGTTAAAAATTCTTTTGGTATATCATTATACATGAACATCTGACATCACCTTACAGCCAATATTAGTAAAGACACAAGTACATCATTAATATCACTTCATCTTATCTTATATTTAAATTCTCATGTCAGAATGTTAGTTACCATACTCTCCCGAAACGGCTTGATCGGTTTTTATGAAATTTCATATGCATATTCAGTAGGTCTGAGAATCAGCTACTATCTATTTTTCATACCCCTAAGTAATAAGATTTATCTACCCTTAACATTTATTATTTTATTTTTTGGACATTGTTTATTTTTTTAATGTGGCATTAAACATACAACCTCAAATTTTAGCTTTTCTACCATCAACACCTATTTTTTAATATCGATTTTAATAGCAAAACAACATTTTTGGAGTCCGGTAGTATCATCTAAATATACCTACACGTAGGATATTTACTTTTCAATCATATTAATATTATTTTATAAATGGAAAATTTGATTTTTATACAGACTGACATACTTTTGACCTTATATAATTAGTACGGATATGGATGGATTTGTGATTACTACATTAATTGTACGACCCCCATACGACCCGGGGCAGTTTAGTAGTAGTTTTATAAAATTAGATTTTATTTATACCAATAAAAAATATACGGCCCAGCTGATTGTAAACTGTTTCAGTAGCCTATAGACTCTTGATAGACCAGTGGTGTCGCTTGTGTCTGGGCTCTTAAGAAACTTTAATATAGGTATCTTTTATAAAGACTTTTTTCGAGGTTACCGTGGCCTATGGATACTTGATATTCAGTTTAAAGTTTAATATCATGTATAATGTAATATTTCGGTACCAACGAATATAAACTGTGCTCAACATAAAATAAGATGCTTTTTCCTTTAGCTTCCTTGAATTAAAATTCTGACAGACGTCATAGGCTCCTAAGGGATGAATTTATATGCGTAAATCCTCGTGAAAATATCATCTCGATCTCTACGTCTTAGGTTTTGTCATAAAGGTCAAAGCATCTTCGGCCTTATTACTTAGCGATAAGGTGTAAAGCGAAGTGCATGAAATGTTATCAGCGGAAGTAAATCCAGTCGCGCCCAACGTAATAGAATTGATATTGAAGGTTTACGCATCTAACATTACTTTATATATGATGATTATTTGTAGTACACAATAATGAAATAAAAAAGCGTATTAAAATACGTTACCCATAGACAATTTGGAGATCGGTCACTTACCTGAAAAATAAAAAATAAAATATATTAAATATTTTTTATGTATACATATATATTTATTTATTAAATCTTTAATGCACAAATATAGATGCATATGGCGGACTTAACACCATGAGGTATATCTAACATTCCTTTAAGTATGCTTAGATTGTATGAAATACATTGCATTTTATAAAGTATTATAAATATATCACTGCCAATTGTACTTAAACTTATTTATAATTGCATGTTAATGTCAGTAATATTTGCAAAATAAATATAGAACTTAGTTCTAAAGATGTGAAGGAAATATCCCTCGATTTCTTTTTTATAGAAGATTATGGATAGACATAGGCACCCGCCTGCGCTAACAGTATACGTTAGCGGGACATCAATAAATTCAGTACTATTGTTTATGTCAGGTCAGTTAACCTATCGCGATGATTTTACCAGAAAAGGGGAGGGGGGCTTTTTGCAGATCGATCTGATGGGGACAAGTGGCCCCATTCTTAACAGTCCCCTCCCCAATAACCCCAAGACAAAAATGGATCACATAAATTTATCTGAAACTTCCCTTCTTTTACTGCTTTCAGGTGAATTGTTGAGGTAATATTGTCTACCATATATCAGTAGGGTTTTGATTTTCACTCAGGCAGTTTTTTCTAAAACAATAGAAAGATATTGTCAATTTTATCTCTAACACTATACTGTAAGACTCATTTTCGCTTACGTACATCACGGAGATTGTTAGTCAAATGCCAATAGTAAGGACGTAAATCTTATAAGAATATGTTCTAGAGACAATAGGCCGGCTTTAAGGGTGTAGAGAGAAGTATTACTTGTGAAGTACTCGTGGGATTGATTTTATACCACGGTAGTGAATCTATGTATTAAGCGGGTTAATAATAAAGCATTAAATAGCTTATAAATATTAATTAATCATGGCTAGTGGTCAAAATTGAACCACATTCATTTAAATTTCAAGTTTGAACAATATCAATATCATTTGACAGTCGGCCGCCATCTTGTCGTTCAGTGTAATGTTTTAACATTACAAATTTCCTACATACGTAATTATATCGCCTTCATTTAATAAATAAGTATATTTGTAATATGTATTGTAATGATGATTGTTCCTGATATAAATGACTAATTTGTTGATTTAATTTGTCATGCCTCAACGAGGCTTATTACGAGGTGCAAATATCCCTTCATAATTGTTATCCTCTACTTCTTTAAAATTTTATAACCTATATCAAATGATTTATTGTATATAACTCCTATGATTGGCGAAATTTAGCGATGTTAATTTGCTTTTATTATTAACTAGAGTGCGGAGCCCGCACGGATGCATTGTAAATCTTTGAATTTCTTGGCTTGTTCTATACTATAATATACCAATATTATACACATATCTAAACCTTTTTCTGCAATTTCTGTATCTATTCGTGCAAACTGCATTAAAATCTGTTGCGTAATTTAAAAGATATAAGCAAACAGACGGCGACAGCGACCAAGTTTTATACTATGTATATGTATATTACATATTCTGGGTGTTTTCTATGTGTATAATATTCTAGTTAATAAACAAAATTAATTAAAGAATTATATTTTAATAATTAAGAAAGGATTAGGTGGAAATCTGTTGTTGTGTACTTTAATACCTATCCATAACTTAAGCTCTAAATAGCTCAGGATATGGTGATATGTGATTTGTCCAGGGTTGTCGTGTATTAATGTGTTATATTACATATTAAGCTTATGTAACATAAAATATGCTGTAATATTTAAGTACTGTGTAACTTTGAGGCTGATATAGCAATAGCCAAAGGCTGAATAAACAAAAAGAAGTAATTTGTCTTTGTTACTCTAACTTGTACGATGTGTGTATTTAGTTTATGGTAACGTGTGTAACATGTTTATTATTATTGTAATGTTATTTTAAACTATAATTGAATTCAAATAGTTTTCGGCACTCGTTCTCCATATAAATTGACATATTTACATAATTTTCTTAAGAAGAAATACCAAAGTCTTTACGTCACTTCATAAATAGCGTATTGTTACGCTATTTATTAAATGACATAAAATTATAAAACTGTTTCGTTTATTATATAAATTTTTATACAAAACATAAACTAAATTTCATACTTTTGCAATAATATTTTTTTATACAACTCTCGTTTTGATAATTATGAAAATAATGAAAAGTCCAAATGGATAGTTCTCAACTGACAATCCCAGAAATTTTGTTGAAGCATGCAAAGCCATCACTTCTAGCTAGTCTATCAGTCATGTTCCGATTATGTCATAGTACCTAATACCTCTCTAGGAAAGGGAATTGTTAGTAATGTGAACTGATGAGCCAGTTGCTAGCAGTGTAACTTGTCAGTTTGACTTCCACGCGGTTCGCCTGGAAACCATCGTGATAAATTCTTCTTGAATTTCTCACGATATGCTACCTAACCTGACCTTATGTTCATCTTATCAATCTCCACTGGGGCCCCGCCAGTGTAAACCGCTAGCGCAAATTGGTGCACCATTCCATTATCATCCATTTTAGAAAAAACTACGCCCCTGATTCTGATGTACTTAGTTATGATATAAGAATATTTTTATTAGAGTTATTAATAAGACTACAATTATATTCCAGGGCAGACATGCAATAAATATTAGTGATGAAAATAGGCTGTGGTAAATGTTCACTCTATTTATATAGAACATTTATCAAAAAGTGCAAATATGATAACATATATCAATATGATAGATTAAATTGACTAACACTGTCTACTAAATAATTCTTATACCATTCTATATATATATATCTTTAATCTGTACCATATTTTATTGGCAAATAAATGAAACAGGTCTTTTTATGTTAGTCACGGTAGTTATTTACTAGGCTACGATACTTTCTGAAAAATTTAATACAGATTAAACGGCATCCCAGCCTGCATAAATCGCATTCGCTTGCGAACAATTTTTCATAGACTTTTTCTCAATTAGGCTCCTATTCAGATTTTGACCAGCAAATTTGAACTCACGACCCTTTGGGTGTAAATCGGGGTAGAAAACCACGGAGCCAAGGCAATATTATGTGCTATTATTTCGATAGAAGACAAAAAGTCATTTGCATAGTTCCAGTGTTACAATAGATACGCCTACACTTCTCCACATAGCAATTACACATGGCACATCTATTGCTAAATATGTATTTCACTGACTATTCGAATAGTGGCGAGGCTTTATGTGCGAACATGATCTTTTACTTTTTCATTAATTTTATTATTAAAAAAAAACAATTTATTAGATTTATGTGAGTCGTTTATATAATGTAAATAATAGTACTAAATACACCAACTCATAACTCTGTATTTACAAACAACATAAAGAAATAATAATATTTTTATTTTGAACTAAAATGTATACCTATTTGATCCGATGAGTTCCTAAAATATTCTGTCGCGTGCCATGAATATCACGCGTGTCATTAGATCACCCTCCCTGTCATAAAGCACCATGTGCTGTATGCAATAAAAGCATAAATCAGTATTGACTACTGTCACTATCCATTTCTTCACTTTCAAAAAGAACGAGCCTCTTAATTTGATTGGTAATGTGTTTTTTTAATGGATGATAATATAAAGGTACATCTGGGCTAATGTAAACC